CTAGCCCTCAATAGCCAGTTGAGTCCGCAGAAATGTGTCCGCTGCTGCGAAGCCCTCTGTGTGGAATGTGTCCTCAGCCAATTAGGTGGCATGGCGCGCATAGATTGGTTCGAGGTAACTTGCGCCTCAGGAGGCGAGTCGACCGAGAGCGTGAGAAAGGCAGGACATCGCGGGTCTCTTGCAGCGATTGATAAAGAAGGTGTGAGGGAGTTTGCCACGTGTGAGTACACTGGCCTGCCTATGGAGCCTAGTATCTTTCAAATTGGATAAGTTTATTTTGTCACATCTGTATTTCTCACCTAAACCTCAGGCAAAAGTCTAACAAATGGTTTTTCAGAAAACTAAGACCTCTTTCTTTGCATAGTTAAAAGAGTGAAGTGCCCTTTAGTACTTGCATGTCAACCTCCGAGCCAACCTAAGGGTCATAACCTAGTTGTTGCTGTGGTGCACCGACCTGTAAGGCCATCAAAGGGAAGAGGATCAACATAGGCAGTAATTCCAACCATTAGTATTTATTCATAATCTTGGCTAATGCATTTGTGGGATACGAAGTAGTCTATCCAGGAATTTAAGCTAGAAGTATCCTAATAGTTACAACCTAGTAAAAACGAACAAAAACGTTGGCAACATAAAACAACGTACTTATTCAGCACCTTATTAAAAGTTGTGCTAACTTATAGGTAACTAAGTAAAACAAAAAGCTGTTAAATGTCCCTACAAATTTTTTTAGATTCCAGTTTAAACCTCCATTCCGGTATGCATTGTTGAAATTAGTTAGCATAATTTGTACATTGTACATTAATTGACCAGCCTCTCCTTAATTTCCTTAATATCCAAGGATATCACATTGGTAAAGTCAATGAAGAACCCTCCCAGTGTTGTGAAGCTGGTCATGGAGGCAGTTTGCATCATGCTGCAGGAGAAGCCCGAACGCAAACCAGATCCCAGCTCTGGAAAAATGGTGGAGGACTACTGGGGGGTGTCCCTGAAGATACTTGGAGACATAAAGTTTTTGGAGAAGTTGAAGAACTATAACATCGACGCCATTCCAGCCCCGGTCATGAAAAAGATCCGAGACACGTACATTCCGAACGCTGACTTCGATCCGAAGATTGTGCGCAATGCCAGTACGGCCTGTGAGGGTCTTTGCAAGTGGATCATCGCTCTGGACAAGTACGACGCGGTGGTTAAGATTGTCGGACCAAAGAAAGCTAAGCTTGCGATTGCTGAGCAAGAGTTGGCAGTTTCGGTGGGTTTAATTCTGAACGCGGATATTTATTACACATACTTATTATACTACTCATACTAAGACAGTAACCATATTTTAATACTATTTATATTCGGCTAGCATTTGCGTTCTTCGATTGCAAGCACGTAATTGGAGTATTTTTTTCTATTTCTCTTTTCTATCCATGCATTTTTACCCACCAATCATTGACGTGCTCCGAGACTCAAACACCTACTCTACTCGGAATAGCACAAATCCAGGTCCCCATTCCTAGTTCAGATCGAGGGAACCCGAGCCCAACGATGACTCTAATCAGCGTCATTTCTGACCAACTATTATCGTCAATAATAGTACCAGCACTACTATCACCCAGCTACACTGCTAGTGAGCAGTAATATAAATATTAGCAGCTGTAGTAGCGATATCAGACTCGGTCTCCTTGAGTCTCTTTCTGGACACCTGTTGAAGGTGAGTGAGTGAGAGTAGATAGTACAGTAGTACCAGTGCAAAAGGCACCTACTGTCACTTAAGACTAAGTAAGGTAGCGTTTCTGGCCTGTGTTGAAGAAAGTGGCTTACGCCTAATTCCTTTTCGGTCATCTCGACTCTGCCTTGTCACCGGTTCGAGCGGGGAGGGAGTTTAGAGTGTGATAGATGGCTGCTCGTCTACTTTAAATATAACTGACTACAGTCACTATCCCTGCTGTTGGGCATATGTTGGACATAATCGGAATCGATAGTCATTAATAAGATAAATTAATTGTCCAATTAAGTATCGACCTAGAATGGAGTGGGACCTGAAAGAAGGCAGAAGTTCTGTAGAATAATCAAGTCTTACTTGTGAATTTTCGAGCTACTGGCAGCAACCCGTCCTCAGACAATATAAAAGGAAGTGAGAGAGTACGAAAGTTACAGTAGACAGTTTATGCGACTGAACAGCTGGACAACTGGCGTGGGGAG